ACACACACACACACACACACACACACACACACTCCCTCACCAGAACGCTCAAATATCATCGCTGTACCGCTAACACCTGAGAGTCCACCCAAAATCCCAAAGCAGCGCCCGTAAAACCGAAACCAGGAACCAGAGAAGAGTGGAAAACACCTGATTCCAGTGCTCTGGGATACAGTTCAGTTATTTTTTTAGCTAATTGGGGAGGGTTTTTCCAAGAGATGAAGAGAGTTTTTGGATTATTTTGACAGCCGGTATCAAAGGCACCAAACATGACTTTGCTCAGGTTTATCAAACACTATTAACACTAAAAAGGCCCGAGCCAGACGGGGCCAGGAAAGCTCAACTACATGAAACGTGAGACTTAACCCTCAGGAGCAGTTTTCCAGGGTTCCTGACGGACATCCCAAAGCTCTTCTGTGGATGTTGGCTGACTTTTCTACAGTTCTTTGTCAGACGATCCCACGCTGCTTCAGTAAAGTCCCAGTTGTGGGGAGGATTCATCCCTCCATCACACCTGTCTGGAATGACTTTTTTGTCCTTTTCCTGACTTGTTTCATATACCTAAGCCTTTTCTCCCTCTTTTCTTCCCGTTCTTTCTGTCTTCCAGGAAGCAAAAATAAAAAAAACTCTTTCCACAATCCTTCTCTTCTTGTTTTGACAACAGGCAACTGCTTTAATTTCATTGTGTGACTTTAAAACTATGCCAGCACACAGTTTGATTTGTTATGACAGTATTTTTCTATTTCTATGTTATTTTAATAAGAAAACAACTGGTATCCAACAGCTGAAGAGTGAATATTTTTTGGGGACAGAAATCTTTTTTCTACATGGTTGTGCACATCATGGTAATTCTCAAACACTTTAACTCTCAAGTAATGGAGAGCAGCAAGGCATCAGGGGGAGCCTTTTAATCTGACATCTTAAAAGCCCAGAACATCACCGCCTCCGTGGGAGGTAAATGTTTGAGAACTCCCCAAAAATGGATCATAGTATCAGAGATGGCCTTTGCTCCCTGTGGGACACACGAGGGACTCGTACTCCTCTGCTGCTGCTAATAAAAAAAAAAAAGAGAAGGTCTATTTGTAAGACCTTTTCAAATCTGACATTTGCAGACATGGAAATCAGCTGCCATCGAGCCAGAGGAAAGACGGGAGGCAAAGATGAGACCAGGGAAAAGAAGAAGAGGGATGAGCGAGATCAGCAAAGAAGATTACACCCCTCCAAGAGTCTGGGGTGTGGGTTTGGGGGGGTGTATCTCAATTAAAACAGTGCCAAACGAGGGAGGAGGGGGTGTTTGGAGGACAGGATGGCACACGGCAGCTAAAAAACAAAAGGCAACGGTGGTCCAAAAGCTCCAGAGCAGAACACGCCTAAAAAAACGCTGAAACCTCAGACAAACACACCCCGGCCCAACTCTCAAAGACAGAATTCGGATTGCCCCCCCCCCCACCATCTCCTCCTGCAGCTCCACAGTTCCAACACTTATGAATCAATAATCCTCCTCAGCAGCAGAGCTGCTTCAATAAGCCTCAGAGGCACGAACACATACTCCACCTCCCTGCTGCCATCAAAGCTCCTGTGTGTCAACACACACCTTACAGTCACGTGATTTCCAAGACTTACCTGCCACAGGTGGTGGCGTCCACGCACCTCACAAATAAAGCAGAAAAGGATATGGATTGCAGACCATTTTGAGGCACCAGCTCCGGGGCCGGGTGGTTTGTTTCAGGTAGAAGAAGACCACGGGGGCCAGGGTGGGGTAAGGGAGGCTCTCCCCGCCGGTAGCGGAAGCCTCATCCCCGCCGGTGGAGACCCCGTCGGGGGCCGGGGACGCGGGCTCCATCACCACCGCCGGCTCCCCGCCTCCCGCCCCGAGCCCGGACAGGTCGTTGAGCCGGATGAAGGTCCGGGGCAGAGAGGAGCGACCCTCCGAGCCCCTGGCGTCGGGGACCCCGGAGGAGACACTTCCTCCATCCTCGGCCATCATTCACCTCCTGCAAACGAGCGCATGATCGGGGACAGTAAATACATGCTGACAAGCATGGGAATGTTGGAGCTGAAGAATGTCGGGAGGAGGGGGGAGGGGGGGGGCATGCTGAACAGACACAAATCCGTTATTAAGAATTTGGAAAAAAAATATCTACTGTACTTTATGAAATCTGCGCAGTTAGATTTTTTATGTCTTCGCAACTTTTAAAACCCCGCGCTGCGCATATAGAGGAATCATCACACCCACTCATTTGAAATCTGAACCAGCCAGGTGGAGATGGCGTTACTATTTTTTCAGGGCTCGTTTTAATCGTTTTTTATGATTACTAGTTTTTAATATCATCATCATGTCATGTACGTGAGATATTTGTTTGGACGGACTGCTCCACATTTACTGCTCCACGCGCAGGGAAGCAGAATGGAGCTTGTAATGAGCCTTAAAGGAGATCCAAACGGAGCTGCATTCCTTTTTCAGCAGCCCCCACACTCCCAACCCACTCCCCCCCACAGCCAAAAATAAAAAAATAAAAAAATCTCGCCCATCAGCGATTGATCATGGTCAAAGTTCGGCAGCATCACCATCCTACTGACCAAACAGTCCAAACTACGAGGCTGTTTCTCCTAAAATAAAGCTGTGGCATCTCTCATGTTGGATTTTCTTACCTGTAATGGACTCTGTAGATGTGCCCAAAGCGCGCTCAGTCATCGCATGATCAGGTTGTGTCGGGGCTATAAAGTCCACGCGAAACCTTATGAAATCATAAAAAAAATCCTTATTGGTGAGGAGAGGAGATTAAAGGAAGAGTAGGGGAGCAGCGGGGAAAGGGAAGCAGAGCCTCTGCCTCTGCCGGATTCGGTGCGTCTTGCGGGGCCGTTTAGTTTCCAGGTGGCGCGCTCTGAGCAGACACCGTGCGCCAAGGCCCCGGTGTCCCCCCCCACCCCCCCGGCGCTTATGGAAGCCTCTCCAGGGGGCCTCAGCCACGCTTCGCCTGCATCTCCCGTGAGGATTGGGAAAACTGAACCGGAGCGGGAAGACTTTCGCCCGCGCGTAAACTTCTTTTTGGAATCCTCCGCTAAAGCCGAAACGCGGGGAGAGGGAGAGCCCCTGATGCTGAGAAGCCTCCTCCTGCCTGGTCCCCGCAGTTTTTCTCAGTCAAGAGAAAGAATCCAGCACTTTTCGTTGCATCCACAGGCGGTTTTCAGCGCGTATTCCCAGTTTTATTTCTGTCTCCTTCTCTTCAAAGTCCCACAGAGATGCTGCGCATCCTGCCGCTGCGTCCCGTGGATAGCTCGCGCGCCTCTCCTCTTCCCTCTGCTGCCCAAAAGGAGAAAGACCCAGTGTTCCTGCTCTCTCTCCCGTCTCCTCAGGACTGCATCCGCCCGGTTCCGTCCATCAGCGGAGCTCTCACAGCTGGATGGGGGGATCCGAACTTCTCACTCCCCCGCCCAGCGCGCACACCCACTCCGCACCAATCAGAGCGCGGCCTGGCGCGGCGCTCCCCTCCCGAATGGCTGAGCCGGGTGCCAGTTCAGGGGAGGGAGGGAGGGAGGGAGGGGAGGGAGGGAGGGGGGGGTAAACAGCTGGATCTGACTGTCAGATGGCGGCCAATCAGAAGCGAGGGAGTAGCGGCGTCCAGGGGAGCGACGCCGCGCGATTGGCGCAGAGCTTTATTATGGGGGAAGTTTGAGGAGGAAAAGTTTACGCACGTGCCGTGAGGCTCAGGCCTCCCGTGAGTTGGAGAAAAGGTAAAACAGTAGCAGGGGATCAAAGGGAAACCAGAATAAAATTAAAGTTGGATTAAAAAAGCATTTTTGGTGAAAAGAAAAGAAAGAAAAAAGAATTCCTGTTCAGTTCGTAATGTGTTGCTTCTGAGTAGCAAAACTTTCTTCAATGACAGTTCTCAAGGCTTTCCAAAGGTCTTACAAAGAGACGTTACTGTCTATTTAATAGGATGTGACCATTTTCAAAGATTTTTTTCATTTTCATATTATATTATTCCTTATATTGTTCCTTTTATTATGTTTATAATTTCTTCAGACCTTTAAAGCTGCCTTACTTCATGTATAGAATCTATTATTTTAGGAATACATCAACCTCCAGGAAAAATAGTGTTTAGGCACTTTGTTAGGAGCACTATGGCTTAAATGGTACACACATACACATTTCTTTACCCCACCAACAAGTTCACTGTGCGTCATATTTTTTTTTTTGCCAAAACTACACAACTAGAGGACAGTAAAAAACTTAAGATGATCTGAAAACGTTATTAAGGAAGAGAAAAACAGAGCAAAGACCTGAAGACCTGGACCACTGCTGACTGAAACCTCACTGAAATGGTCTCCATGATATGGTGCCGTCAAGAAGTCATTCTCAAAGAACAAAAACAGGAAGAAAGTGCTTAGGCGGGTACTGTAAATACGTTTTGGCAACAGGACTGATGGAGGGATGATTCCCAGATCCCGCATCCCAACATTTTTTAAGCATTTTGGAATCATCTGACGGAGATCTAAGCAAAAGGAAGCCCACATCAAAATAAGAGCCACGGCATGTGGAGGCACCTGGAGAGCAGTTCCTGAAGATTACTACGAAAATTAGGCTCAGGCTTCGTTGGAAAATGAAGCTCATACCAGATATGGACTCTCAAGCTCATCAGGATTGTAAGAACTCTGCCTTACAGGTATGCCAATGAATTTCTGCTCCCATTTCCTTGTTTTTCCAGAAACGTATAAAGACTGGGACTACTGGAGTCAGCGTGCACTCCCTTTGTGCACACTGTGTCCTTCAGCATGCAGAAACGTGACCACAGAAGGGGCTGGAAACATTTCTCCGGTTACTAAAAGAATAAACCTAGTTTTAGAAAACTTACAGAAATTTGACACAAGAAAACGACTTGAGTGAATAAATGTGTCATTCTTGCCGAGCAAAGCCTGAAAGTTCATCTGAATGCTGACGAGATTCCTCTCTGAACTGGCGTTTCCAAGATCCACGGGCCCCGAGCTCTGGATCAGAGCTCTGGCTCACACTGTGTGCTGGTGGCCACTAGAGGAAGTCGTTTCCCCGGGCCCCCCCGGTCTGTCTCATACCCACAGCTGCTTTAGGAAGTAACACACCCCGAGGCACAGCAGCAGGCAGCTCCAGTCCTCTTCTACTTTACATCCATTTTTTTTCTCTTTCTAAAAAAGACGCGCACGGCCACAGAGCAGAATCCCTCACTCTGTAGTGGAAGTGTTCTTCTCATTAGACTGTACGATCATTGATCTGAGAACAAGCAGGAGCAGATCAATGCGGATGACCAATTTCTTTTTTCGTAGCGTTGGTTGTACCCATCTACTGCGGCAGAAGATAATCAGCCGGGATGCTCACAGGGTATTGTTTCGAAACATAAACACAGGCAGTCCTACGCGTATGGTCTATAAACACACCTGTGAGCATCTGTTATCTGCTTAAGAAAGCAACGTAAGTGGATGAACCATTCAGAGTGGAACCCAGATGAGAAACGTTTTCAGGTAACAACAGCTTGAATTAATAATGGGGGCAGAAATATTCCTGCTTTTATTATTCATTAAATGGAACAGAGCCTCGACAATTCTTCTCCGAGTGGCCACGAGCACTTCCTGAATCGAGCTTTTTATGAGCGCCTGATGAATGATGTTTGCCAGTGCCGGCCACTTTGAGCTAAGACCCCAATCTATCAGAGCGGGATTTGGATTCTCGCGGGGGGGAAACTTTCTCTGGTGAGCACAGCTCCAGGGGCTTGCTGACTGGGGGCGGCGTTTGCACACACGCAGGATTCATCCATCACCGCTCACCTTTCTGTGACTGCCATGATGGATCTCTTGATACAGAAGGCTTAAAAAAAAAAAAAAAAACGGAAACAAACAGGTTACACATCATTGGACGGGTTCCACTCGGTCATGCAGGTAGCCTCAACGGATTCTTACAATGGACTGTAACTCATGCGGTCTATTTGTTCTCATCCACATATTTAAGAGTTATTGTCTCTTTTGGAGGAACACAGTACCACCTTTGTCACCGAACTCGGAAAAAACAATGTTAGATCATGTTTTTGAAAGGCAACAAAAAAAAAAAGATCTACCTTTGGAGGTTGGAGGAATTGGCTGGTGCAGTTATTGGTGTTTTTACGTTGAGGAATCAAATAATTAACAGATTTCAGGTTTCAATAAGACTTAGATCATTGTACATTTGTGACCATTTCAAAGAAACAAACAGAACAAGAGCACAGAGAGGGAGGCTATTTGGAGGAAAGATAGACGGCCAGCAAGGGGAGGCTATGCTCCCGGTAGGTTGTCAGCTGTTCCCAAACCACAACCAGCAGAAATCATCTGCCGCCAGCTGACTGGATGCTTGCTTCCTGCTTGATGCTCACAGAATTCATCAGTATGGCAAGAAAATTACTTTTGACTGAATTATACGACGTCAAACAGCGTAAGCGAGGGACAGGAGTGTTCCAGGGATGAGCTCACATCATTGGTGAAAACCCTTGAATGTCAATGTGACGTTAGCCAAAGGTTAAAGGCCAAGTGAAGCTACCCTAAGCACAAAGGAAAAAGCCAAAAAGCCAAACAAAAGGGAAACAATACCAACAGGTACACCAAAAAAAAAACACAAAAAAAAAAAACACAGAGTCCATCTTACTTTATCGTAGCCTTTTGTTTAACATGAATGATCTGCAGGAGATTTGAAGTGTTCAAAGATAGGTTTCCCTTCTAGTTTGGCTCAGTTTGGGTTGTTTCAGCTGTCAATTTGACTCCTTCATTTTCACACCAAAGGTTGAAACTGCTTAGAGTTCAAAGCCAATCACATCTGATATAGAAAATGAGTTACGTCACATATGCCAAGCGTCATTGCCATCGGAGGCTGGTACGTTTAGAATATTCACCAATATACATAAAAAAAACAAAACGTTGGATCGGAACTATAAAAGTATCAGTTCATGACACAATACAGGGATAAAAATGAAACAAAACAACAAC